GAATAGTGTTAGAGAGGAGAACAACACACACTAGGGTCTGTCAGGATGGGGAAGGGAGAGCATCTGCATACACAGATAATGCATGCAGGGCTTCATACCTAGTTGACAGGTGCAGCAAACCACCATGGCACACTTTTACCCATGTAATAAACCTGTACATCTGGCACATGTATCTCAGAACTTAAAAAAAAAGAAGCTAAAAAAAATAAAAAGAAAGAAAGAAAGAAAGAAATAGCCAGAGTAGGCAAATCTACTGCAATAGAAAGTAGATGAGTGGCTTCCTAGGGCCAGAGGTGTAGGGAGGTTGGGGAAAAGAGAGGAGTAACTACTAAAGGATATGAGGTTTATTTGAGGGGGAATGAAAAGGTTCTAAAATGAGATTGTAACAATGGTTGCACAACCCTGGAAATATAGTAAAAACACTGAATCACCCACTTGAAATGAGTGAATTGTTTTGCATGTTAACTATGTCTCAATAAAGCTTTTTTTAATAATAAAAAATAATACTTACAGTAAGAATTTTGGGCTGTATAGTTCATCTGCAATATAAGAAAAGAAAACGCCATGAGGATCCAATCATGCTGGGTCCTGTTTGCACAGGTCTTTTATTCACTTGGTGACATTAGGAAACCACATGTCAAACAGTAATCAAGTCACTGGCCCCCAAGTAAAGCATAGAGAATGTTTGTGGAAAAGGCAATGGATTTCTCCAAGTTGGCTGGCAAATACAAAATTATTTTTCAAGAAGAAAAAGTTGCTACTAAGAAATATGCTCACTACCAGACAGTTTGTAGGTGATGCTGTCATTTTTCACTGTCATCGTCACTCAGGCCTCAATTGGTCATAAACTCAAATGGCTGGTCGCTACAGTCCATGATCAAGTGAGGCTTGACTGACCATGGCAATCAAAAATGATATTCGCTTGATATTCCCCCCAACCTAGAATATTATCTTACTCATCTGTTATGTACATGGTAAGAGTTTTATATCTTCATTTCATTAATAAGAGAGGAAGCCCCAGAAAAAAACAAACAAACAAAAACAAAAAAACATTTTTCTTCCAGGTGAAGGAGTGCATCTTACCATTTCAGGTAACATCTCCACAGTATCAAGGTCACATTCCACCAGGTCTGGAACAGGAGCTAGTAGAACATAGAGTGACAGTCAGTGCATTGGTGCTGGTGAGATATCCCACAAGAAGCCTTGGGGGATGTGGGGACTGGGGCTGGAGTATATACAGGTGGGTGGTGGACAAGCATGAACTGAGTTGCTGCTGGACCATTCTCCTTGGTGTGGAAGGAAGGCAGAGGAGAGGAGCAGAAAGAAAGAGCCTGGCTTTCTAGCTAGGGCAACCTAACCAATGTGAAATATTCGTGTTTAAAAAAATGATGAATACAGAAAGGCACTGTATGGTTCAGTGAGACCGTGTCATCACACCTCCTGCCCATTTGAAGGTCCAGGCCAATCCCCTCATTTTTCAAAATGTTACAAGACCATTTAATTCTCTGGATTTACATATCCTGCTACTACATTTATCATCTATCCTGTTTTACTTTTTAAATTGGGTGAAATATACATATTATTTTAGCTATTTAGTGTACATTTCAGTGAAATTGAATTCAGTGAGCTACATTCATGATGCGGTGTCAATAATGAGAAAAATCTAGATTCATAATCTAAACTTAAAAAACAATGATTGAGGCCGGGCGCGGTGGCTCAAGCCTGTAATCCCAGCACTTTGGGAGCCCGAGGCGGGCGGATCATGAGGTCAGGAGATCGAGACCATCCTGGCTAACACGATGAAACCCTGTCTCTACTGAAAAAATACAAAAAACTAGCCGGGTGAGGTGACGGGCGCCTGTAGTCCCAGCTACTCCGGAGGGTGAGGCAGGAGAATGGCGTAAACCCGGGAGGCGGAGCTTGCAGTGAGCTGAGATCCGGCCACTGCACTCCAACCTGGGCAGCAGAGCGAGACTCTGTCTCAAAAAAAAACAAAAACCAATGATTGCAGAAATCAATGGAATAGAAAACAGGAAATCATCTGAGAAAATCAACAAAACAAAAAGCCAGTTCTTTGGAAACATCAGTAACATTGATAAACCTCTACCTTGGCTACCCACAGATGAAAGAAAGATGTTACAATGTACTAATAGTATCAATTGAAGAGAAGTTAAATCAAACAATAATAAAGGAATATTCTGAACACATCTATGCCCACAATTTGATCCATTAGATGAAATGAGCTAACTCCTTTTTATCTATTTTAGAAGACCAAAAGTCTTCTGGGGGAAAATAGATCATTTGAATAGGCCTATATTTATTTTAAAAATTGAATCAATAATTAGTAATCTTTTGAAAAAAGGAAAAACCAAAAAAGTATATTCATATGGTTTCATTGGAAAAAAAATTCTACCAAAATTCTTTTTTTTTTT